CGGCCTTATATATCAGGTTATTTAGGCATAGAAATGACACCAGGTAGTCACTCTAAAGGGCTGTTATTTAGGTATTAGCCAATGTAGTTCAATTTTCGAGATACAAATATCTTGAAATAAAATATTTTAGTTTAAACTTTCAGGACAAAATAAGTACTGGCTAGTCCCTAAATGATGATTGTTTGTCCACATGGCCCTATTTAGGTTCCCTTGCTTATTGGTGAGATAACCAGCCAAAAAAGCTCCTCAAATAAGAGAGGGACGATGAATTTTTTTTGGGCCTGGAAGAACATAACCTTTCTCAAAGCCCATCTCAATTCTATAAGCACACTTCATGAAGTTGCTTAAATAAATGCATGGGGCTCCCTATTTGCACTACAAGAAATCACCCTTGTTAGTCGCCACAAAATCCGTGGGAGTCGCTACTAAAAGGTATTAGCGACGACTTTTGTATTGCCACAAGGAAAACCGTGACTGAAGGTTATTTGCGGCGACATTTTATAGTCGCCACTAAAGAATATATTTTGTGGCTACAGAGTTGCCACAAAAAGGTTGGGAAAAACGCTACAAAAAATTATTCCATAAGAACAAATATTAGATGGGTCGCCACTATATATTCACCCTTAGTAACGACTACGGTCGCCACAAAATATATTTATGTTCAGTGGCAAGATTATACCGCCACTATAAATGTACTTTAGTGGCGACTAAGATTGCCACAAAAAATATTTATGTTCAGTGGCAAGCTTATGTTGCCACTATAAATGTCATTTAGTAGCGACTAAAGTGGCCACAAAAGTTTTAACCATGAAAGACACAATGTTTTCTGTTGCGACTAAAGTCGCTGCAAAAGAATTGACCTTCTGTGGCAACTTATATATCGCAACAGTTACAAATTTTTTGACAAAACTATGTCGCCACTAAAAGTTATTTTCTCAGCAATTATAACGACCAAAATTATATACATTTCCATGCCAGTAGGAACCTAATTCTCTTAAATTTCATATAGAGATATTCATATCAATTGACTATCAATATTAAAGCAACCAATAATGCTTGACAAACACCAAAAAAATTTCTCAAGCCGAATATTATAAATATTATCATTACTTAAAAATCAATTACATATATACTACCCGACACTCATTATGCATTGTAACTGTACGCATATACATATCCCAAAAACGACAAAATATTAAGTGCCTTGTAACTGCTCCTTGCCCGACACCATCCTTGAACGATACCCGTGTTAAGTGCCTTGTCCCTACTAGACAAAAGTAACATATATAAGGAACATAATGAGATTTGTTATATCCACTACTATCAAAATTCTAAGAATTTATTAGAATTTTCAATCTGTGGGCTACAAAACAAGGGCATTTAAGGCTTGTGCATTTGATTGAGAACAAAAAGACAACTGGAAGAGTAGAGAGAAAGCCCGAGCAGGACACTGCAAAGGTTGCCTTGACTGGCGTGAAAGAAAAGATGAAACATGAGAGGTGTCCTCTTATTCGTGAGGATACGGTGTTTTGCAAGTCTATCTTGAATGAGTATGCTGTTAAGATGAAGCTTGAGAAACCTATTTATCATACAGTTCAACATGAGGGGTTGCTTCCTGTTTCAAGTCTACATCAGTCTTTAATGGTAATTAATATATGGGAGAAACTGGTAAAAACAAGAAAGAAGCTGAACAAATGGCAGCTCGGGCAGCGGTTATGTCCATTATAGAAACTACTGACTTGAACATCTTAGTAGACCTACTGGCTCTATAGCAGTTCTTGAAATGATTTACTCAGTACAAGATGTCACCTTTTTGTTGAACAACAATGGGAATTACAGACATTTTACCTTGAATTACAGACCTAAGGCTTGTGCATTTGACGAGTTTACTACTACTTCAAGCTAGAAAACGGAGGACTGAGATTTCTAAAAGGTGGTGGAATCTACTTATATTGGCATTCCAGAGGGGGGAAATGTACCCATTCTCCCCAAACCAACAGACACAAACACGCTTCAGCTGTTCAGCATGCCAAATAAAGTGGAAGGGACAGTTAAACAAGACAAAAGAAGATCTTCAAAAAGAAGTAGACCATATAGATATTAACACTACAACACAACATAAATTCTAGAACATGGAACTCAAACTGACACTGATGTTCCCATTCTCTAAACCTGTGATTGCTTAATAACATGATCTGTAGTTCACAATTTAAAGTCTATTTGGTTTGCACTTTACAGAATCATTAATTGGTTATTAGTTAATTCACCAACAACTTATTATGCACCGATGTTCTCATTCTCTGAACCTGCTGAAATTCACAGACAAATTAAGGCAAGGAACTCTTTTAGTTATGTTACATAGAAGTTTCTGACCTTTTTTAGAAGTCAAAGTTGGTACCTTTAATAGAGTAATTTACAACACCAAATTGGAATGATCACCAATATAAACTAACAAAAGTTAATATCCCACTTATTTCAGTAGAATATCATAAGCAACCAAGTATGAAAGCAGTGCTAGAAATTTGAGAAATACTGAATTATCATCAACTTGTGACATGCGCCTAACCAAGTAAGAAAGCAGTGCTAGAAATTAGACATTTCTGCAGAACCTGATATGCAGGACCAACCAATTATCATTTCATTCCTCAACTTATCAAACATTATTACATCAGATCACAAGCCTCAGAGTCGAATGCTGAGTTGGTACTGTACTTAGAGTACAGAATGCTGAGTCGAGCTTTCCATGCTCTAAAAAGCCTTTGCATAGTGCTAATTACAAAGGCCTGAAACCTATGCTCTTGCAACCCGCTGCAATCTTCAAATTTATCCTGACAATAAATGTAACATCATATTTAATATCCTAACCACATAAATAAACCTTGCAATTTAAAGTCAATACAATATTGAAAGTAGTTTATTACCTTGACCTTTAACCACATTACTTCTCCGTGTTTCAGAATTATTTTCCTCCAATTTCCATCTTGGAACGAGATAGTGCTCCTCATGATCAAACCACAATAATTAACAATATCTCTAGCCCCAGAACCTACTGCTCTATCAATGTCATCTGGAATAACTTTTTTGATTTTGCCACCACACTTAGTTTTTACTTCTAAACTTTTAGATTTGTATTTTCCTCTTCCTCTTCCTCTTCCTCTTCCTCTTCCTCTTCCTCTTCCTCTTCCTCTTTTTTTATTGCTGGAAGAAACTGCAAAGTAAAAGGATACTATTTTTCTTTAGTAGCTCGACTCAATCAGTAAAAATAATTTTCACAAAATAACAAAAAACAGAAACTAACTTGCACAATTTTCAGCCTCTGGAGAGCAATGCACAGTTGCTGCTACATTTCATGATGATTGTGTTTCTAAAGAAGGTATTTGGAGAGATTTAAGAGATACTCGTCCGGTCTCTAAAGGTCCTTGACTCGGGTTACTTGGTTGTCCTATCTCTACAGATGCATCAGATACTCGCCCGGTCTGTATGTGTGGCTGAGACGTCGCTCCAAAATTGCCACGTCCTTGAAAATTTTCACGACCACAGCTCGTCCCGCCTCTCCCACGTTTTCCTCATCCAATTCCTCTCATTTCCTGCATAAAACATACAAAGAAAAAGATTGATCAGAATAGAGAAAATATTAATTCACTAATTTTACTTCACCACTTATTCTGTTATGAAATAATGCTTTAAACATTACGGGTGTGTTTGGTATGAAGGAAAATGTTTTCCATGGAAAATACTTTCCTAGAAAATATTTTCATCGAAAATGAGTGGTTTTATCACTTATTTTCTCTTGTTTGGTTGGTAAGTGGTAAATATTTTCCGGAAAATATTTTCTATTGTTTGGCTAGAGAGTAGAAAATATTTTTTTTAGGAAAATATTTTTTATGCAACTCTCCTCACCCCTCCCCCTCCCCCAACCCCTTCCCGAAGTCTCTAAAAATTGACACAACCCAAAGGAACTAATGTGATGCTTTACTTTTTTACGCAAAAATCACAAATTTTCGAACCCGTAAACTTCCAAACACATAAACCTCTGAACTCATAATTTTGGAACTTGTAAAAATTCGAACCTGTAAATCGAAAGATAAAAAAAATAAAACTGAAAATATATATAAAAAAATATTTTTTTCCTTGGGAGGGGGGTGGGGGAGGGGCAGGGGTATGTGCAGAAAAATAAAAAATAGAAATTTGAAATTACAAAAAAAAAGTAAATTCTTTTTGCAGGGTGTGGGGGGGTTGGGGGCAGGGGCAGTGGGGAGTGGGGTGCAGAAAAACGAAAAAACAGAAATTTGAAAAATACAAAAAAGTAAAAAAAAAATTTGTAGGGGGGCGAGGGGCAGTGAGGGTGGGGTTTTGGCGTGGGTAGCAGGGTGGATGGTGACGGAAAAAAAAACTAAATTTAAAAAAAAATTCCCTTTTCTGGAGAGAGGAGGTGGGAGGGTGGTGCGTGTGGGTGTGGGTGGGTGTGGTGAGGCGGATAATAGCGGATGGGAAGGTTGAGAAGGAGTTTTGAAAAATGTTTTCCCTTCACTTGATAAGGAAAACATTTTCCTCCAATTGGAGGAAAATGAGTTGATAAGGAAAATGTTTTCCAAAATATTTAAGCCAATCAAAGATGGGAAAATTGGAAAATATTTTCCGGAAAATATTTTCTTCATACCAAACACACCCTACGAATTAATTTCATTCAGTCTAATTAGGACAAAAATACAGAGAAATTTTCAAAATAAGATGTAGACATAAAGCTACAAGCATACTAATTTCATTGTAAGTCTAATAAGGAAAAATATAGAGAACATTTAAAAATGAGACATAGACATAAAGCTTCAAGCATCAGAAGAGAATCAAAAAAGAAATATAAAGATTCAAGCATCACTAATCTTTGGTTCATTGACAGTTCCAAACAAATACATGGGTAGTATAAAGTCATGGACAAAAATATAGAGAGTTTTCAAAATAGGATGTAACATCTATATCATTCGTCTTTTGCTTCTTAGTCTTCAAGAGGATGTATCAGTGTCCTCCCCATCATCATCATCAAATAACTCTTCTTCGCTATCTTCACTCTCTGATATTTCTATATGATTGTCATTAATGAAATCATCTTTCTCATTATGCACATTGTTTTGAACTTGCGTACTTGCACGATCGTAGCTAATACTTTGTGGTTCAACATTATCCCTATGTAGAGACACCTCAACAATATTTTGTTGGTCATTGGTGTACAAAGTATTAAATTCAGCTTCCTTTTGCTGATAAACTTCTTCATTTAGTAATTCTTCATCTTCAATATCTACACAATTATCATCATTATCAGGCATTTTGAAAAGGTCACGAGGATTTGTCTTCACAACAACAAGCCAATCATTATCGACCATGTCGTCCAAGTAAAAGACTTGTTCTAACTGAGATGCCAACACAAATGGCTTATTTGTATTCAAGGCACACCGAGTATTCACATTTGTGAAGCCATATTTGTCAATCTTATATCCTCTTCCTAAGCGAGCCACATCCCACCAATGACACTTGAATAAGTAAACTTTTCTGTTTCCCACATAAGATAACTCATAAATGTCCTCTAATACACCATAATACTCCTTATTAGAGTCTGAATCATCTCCTCTCACAAGAACACCACTATTCTGCATTTTTCTTCTCAATGCAAGCTCTTTTGTATGGAATCTAAATCCATTCACCACAAATGTTGAATACCGATATACTAATGGTGCAGGACCGACGGCTAATCTTATGAGCTCATCATTTACGCGTCCTTGTGCAGATAGTACAAATATCTACAAAGACGAACAATATTGTTATGACCAATAATATGATGGGATGAATAAACTAATATCAATATTATCATTTGAGTAGACACCTAGACGTGCGCGAAACCAATAAAGAAACCCATTTTTATGAGCTCTCATTGAACTTTGGCTTTCAATCTCTCTTGTATATTCCCTAGATTTTAAGTTAGCTAAGATAAATCGGATTCAAATTATCTTAATGTGAAACTATCTTGAAGTTAATAAGAGACTTACTCCATGAAATGCGAAACCTCTTCACAATTTTGAAGCACATACATACATGCTTGTTTAAACTCATCATGAGATAGCCTGATGCCATCTGAGGCACCTTTTGTTTGCCCACTTTTTTTAAAGATATACATCTCATCATTTGACACAGATCCATCGTCATTCCTAGTTGGTTTATTGAACTTTGTTGAGATATTCTTCAAGTATCGTGAGCAAAATGTGAGGCTTTCCTCTACCAAATAACCTTCTGCAATTGAACCTTCTGGACGATTTTTATTGCGAACATATGACTTAAGTGTTCGTAGATACCTATAAAAAATGACTTATTAATATAATGTGTGTCATTCTAAAACTATAGCATCGAAATTATTAAACAATAAATTACCTCTCAATAGGATACATATTCCGATATTGAGCTGGTCCACCAAGCTTTGCCTCACTTGGCAAGTGAATTGGCAAATGAACCATGACATCAAAGAAAGCCAGAGGGAAAACAAGTTGAAGTTTGGTCAAAATAACAGGAATTTCTGCCTCTAGGATATCAAGATCTTCAATCGTCAAGCACTTAGAGTATATATTCTTGAAAAACTTTCCTAAGGCTATAATTGGATCACACACTTCCTCGGGTAGCAAACCACGTATAGCTACTGGAAAAATGTCTTGCAACATACATGATGATCGTGACATTTCAATCCATGTATCTTTTTCTCCTGTACGTTGACACACCTTGAAATGTTTGAGGAAAATGCATCAGGAACCTTCAGATTAGCTAAGAAACTGCATACCTTCAGCTTCTCTTCCGTGGACAATGCATAGCATGCTGCCGGTAACAAAATATTATTCCCATCCTCAATAGGATGCAATCTTTGTCTGATTCCAAGATCCATCAAGTCATATCTACTTTTCAATGTGTCTTTTGTCTTTCCAACCATATTCATGACAGTTGATATAATATTATCGGACACATTTCTTTCGATGTGCATCACATCAAGGTTATGTCGTAACATAAGACTCTTCCAATAAGGCAATTGGAAAAAGATACTTTTCTTCTTCCAATTGTACGCATTGCTATGAACATCACGCTTTCTCTTTTGTCCTTTGCCAAAACTCACATTACCCAAAGCTTGTAATTGTACAAGTGCTTCATCACCTGTTAAAGGGTTAGGTGCAACTCCCATTTCAACTTTCCCATCAAATAACGTCCTACTTCTCCGCCATGGATGGTCCATGGGAAGGAAGCGACGATGACCCATATAACACAACTTACTCCGCAAGGAAGTCGATTGTGTATCTTTATGGCAACAAGGGCATGCAAGCTTGCCTTTGGTTGACCATCCTGAAAGATTTCCATATGCAGGAAAGTCATTGATCGTCCACATTATAGCCACACGCATCAGAAAATTAGATTTTGAGTGTGCATCANTAGGCATGCTTTCCATGTGATTGCCAACTTAGAACATTGTTATAGACATAGAATAGTGCAGAAATCCTATAACATGATATCTAGGTGTTGCATTGTTTTACTTAAGGCCTATAAACACGTTTGCCTAGTGAAAAGCGGGTATGCAAGAATCAGAAAAGACCCATAGGCATATTCTCTATGTGCGTGTGCAAAAGTTATAGACATAATATCTACATGAAAGTGCAGAATTCCTATAGTCATGGTATCTAAACGAGAATGCAGAGTTTCTTATAGACATGATAGCTAAATGAGATGCGGAAATCTTATAGGCATGATAACTACATGAAAATGCATAAAGGGTTAGGTGCAACTCCCATTTCAACTTTCCCATCAAATAACGTCCTACTTCTCCGCCATGGATGGTCCATGGGAAGGAAGCGACGATGACCCATATAACACAACTTACTATGCAAGGAAGTCGATTGTGTATCTTTATGGCAACAAGGGAATGCAAGCTTGCCTTTGGTTGACCATCCTGAAAGTGATCGTCCACATGATAGCCACACGCATTAGAAAATTAGATTTTGAGTGTGCATCATAAGTCTCCACCCGTCCCATCATTCTTTCAACTCTTCAATCATTGGTTGTAAATATACATCGATATCATTGCCTGGACACTTGAGGCCTGGAATAAGAAGTGTCATCATGAAAATATGGAT